TCTCTCTCTCTCTCTCTCTCTCTCTCTCTCTCTCTCTCTCTCTCTCCATCCCTTCCTTCTCCCCTCTCCCCCTCTCCCTCTCCCCCTCCCCTCTCTCCCTCCCTCCCTCCCTCTTTCTTTCTTTCTTTCTTTCTTTCTTTCTTTCTTTCTTTCTTTCTTTCTTACCAGAACATCTATTTCTCTTTTCTGGTTTTGCACAAATGGAAAACCTCTTGCAAAACTTTGCTTCCTGCCCCTATTTGCTCTTTTTAGAATTACCCCTCCCTTTTTGTTCTCTTATTTGTCTATATTTCAAAGGTCTCTCATCTCCTGTCAGTTCCAGAAGTTGAGAGTAGGTTAAACAACCAATTTGCCAATCAGATCAACACCTAAGCCCTGAAACAAAAACCAAAGCCATGCTTGAAATTCAACCGATCGCAATGTGGCACAACTCTTGACTTACCTTTGACACCTGTGTCCCCTTTCATTCCCTTTTCACCCACTGATCCTTTGGCCCCAGCTGGTCCAGGGGCACCTACTTTGCCTTGAGGTCCTGGAGGGCCAAGGGCTCCTTTGAGACCTACAGTGATATTGAAGATGGAAAACTGATATTCATAATGAGACAGGTGCTTTGCAAAAAAAATAACGATCCACCAAACAGGAACATCATTTCCAGTTTGCACTACTACTTTGTGAAATGCACAAAAGAATAGGCAAGTAGCCTCCTAATCTAATCCCTGTTTACATCAAATTAATCTGATGCTTCTAAATTCATGCCCAACCTGACTCGTCATGGCATTGCAGCAAAACCAATCAGAACCATCGAAAAATAGCAAATGTAAGATTTCTTGCATTTGATGTTGGAGTGGGCTGTCTCCCATCAAATCTTCCATTTTCTCAGTGTTGTATGTGCTCCCAAATTCTTGGATCTAGCACTCTATTTGTTTAAGAATTATTTATAACAACTATAAGCATATGCAAATTCAAATCTAGACTCAGGATCCAACAGCTGTAGATGCATCGGAGAGAAAATACAGTTCTGTTTTCCCCCCCACTTATCTTATTGCCGTTTTTATCCCAATTCTTCTCAATTTAAACCACACTGTTAATTGCCTAAAAGAGTTTGAAGACAGAATTTGGAAAAAAAATGCTTTGATCTTGCTCAGCTGCTTGGATAAACTCACTGATCTTTCTGATCTCCCTGTAATGGTTGAAGAGGAGATCCCTTTGGGACATTACAAATGGATTGCCAATGATCTCTTAATTGATGTTTGAAAGAATACAGCCACATCGATCCATTGAACATGCCTGTTATGCTATTCTTCGATAATTACTTTTTAATCAAATTCCAGAGCATAAGTAGAGGGAGTCAATCTTTCTTAATTAAACAAACTTACCTATTTCTCCTTTGACACCTTTCTCACCTTGTGGGCCAATGTTACCTTTTGGTCCGGAAGGGCCCACTTTTCCAAGAGGGCCCTGCAAACCCTGAATTCCACGTGGTCCTGGTCAAATGAAATGAACTAAGTCAGAAAAGAGAGAGGAATGTACCTGGGAGAACAATGTTCTGTTGTGCTCAACCAGGAACTTCAGGGGGAATAGAACTGTTGAGACATTTCTAGAAAGAGTTCAGAGAAGAGCAACCAAAATGATTAAGGGACTAGAGGCTAAAACATACGATGAACAGTTGCAGGAACTGGGCATGGCTAGTCTAGAGAAGAGAAGGACCAGGGGAGACAGGATACCAGTCTTCCAATATTTGAGGATCTGCCACAGAGAGGAAAAAGGGGTCAAACTATTTTCCAAGGCACCCGAAGGCCAGACAAGGAATAATGGAAGGAAACTGATCCAGGAGAGATTCAACCTAGAAATAAGGAGGAATTTTCTGACAGTGAGAGCAATCCACCAATGGAACAGCATTCCTTCATAAGTTGTGGGACCTTCATCACTGGAAGCTTTCATGAAAAGACTGGATTGCCCTCTGTCAGAAATGGTGTAGGGTCTCCTGCTTGGGCGGGGGGGTTGGACTAGCAGACCTACAAGGTCCCTTCCAAATCTGTTAAACTTTTAACTGAGTCTTCTTGAGTCTGTAAGATTACAGATAAAATATAGTGTTGGACATATCTCTGAGCAATGAAGCTAGCTGTCAGTAACCCTGGATTAGATATATCAATGGTACATGACAGTAGAGGGAGAAGTTTGTAAAATTGGGTGCATTTGATGCCTCACTTGAAAAACTGGAAACCATAAATGTGGCCAAGGATGCATCTTACCTATTTGTCCAGTATCTCCTTTCGGTCCAGTATTCCCTTGAGACCCTTTTTGTCCTGCTGGTCCAGCCGGCCCCATCTTCCCTGGAGGACCAAGGCTTCCTTTGGGGCCTTGCAATCCTTTAAATGAGTTGAAGCAAGGGTTATTAATGGAAAAGTGCATACAAGTCTATGTAGTCCATGAAAAAGTTACAGGGGTTAGTCCTTCCAGAGAATAAACCTAACTATTGTAGAAAGTCAGAACCCACCTTCCTAGAAGAATGAAATATTTTGAGGTTGTTGTTTTTTAAGGCAGATTATTATATTTTCCAAAGGGAGAAATGGAGAAACATGTTTTTAAAGAGGCAGATAGCAACCTCCATCTTTTCTTAATAACATACAGCAGATGCCAGCACTTAAGAGATAAAGAGCTTATTGAAAGAAGACAAGTATCTAGACAGCTTTATTCATAAGCAAATAGCCATCATTCAAGATCCAACACAGGACAAAGCCATTAAGCCACAATGGGGATTATTGCATCACCCCCAGACCAATCCAAAGTTCAACCAAACATAGCTCAGAGAAAACACTTATAGAACCAGCTATGACCCCTACAGAACCCCTACATGGCCCCATGGGAGTCTGACAACAGCCAATAGAACACATGCTCTTCCCCCGGGAACAGGAAGCTCAAGAAAAGGTTAAAAATAAACCATTCTTAACTCCATTTTGTCAGTTTCCCACATGTGGATCTGCTTCATCATTAAACCATCTTTCCAATCAACCTCCATGTTTCCAGTGTCATTCTCCCATCTTGGAACGGAACCAGATGGATATTTCTTCCCACACTATCCAATCCATTTGCCCCACTTCTCTAATCAACCCAGGGTTCTGACTAGAGGTATCAATGGTTGAGCTCAAATTATCCTACTTCAGTCTCTGCTGCTCATTGCTGCTACTGGCTCGGCAAAACCAGGCAGAACCGGTAGAATACCACCACTGCCAACGCTCGAGCTTAAATTACCCTACTTTGGACACATGATAAAAAGGCCCAGCTCTTCGGAAACAAGGCTCTTATACTTGAAAGGTGTAAGGAAAGAGAAGCAGAAGAAGTGCAGCAAAAAGGTGGATGGACTCAGCTACAGTTGAGCATAGTCCAGATGATGGATGTGGCAAGAAAGAAGAAAACAGCAGAAGAAAGAAGAAGATCTGGAGAAGATAACAAAATACAAAGGCCTCAAACAGAAATAGAATGACTTGTGGCAAAAGAAACTACAGCTAGTACCAAGATTAAGAGGTGCCCTGGGTATACCTCAATCTGATTTAAACCTACTTTAAATAAAAGTCTAGTCCCTAATTCTTGCTGAATTAGCCAAGATAATATCTGGGAAGCAGCTTGGAAAGTTGACTCATGCAGGTCATAGGGTCCTGTCTACCTTCCTTCATCAGCTGTGCTTTCTTCACTTATATATTTGAAATCATAACTGTCTTGGCTTTTTCCCACCACCTTGTTGGACTTCAGTTCCAATAATTCCCAGGCAAATAATCATAATAGGAATTAAAGAAAGTTGTTGATGGGAGGCTCCATGTTTTTAAGACACAAGAGAAATTATATTAAGCGAAGCTCAAAAGCCTGCAAGAAAAGTCTACTCAAATTACTTCCTGAATCACCTTCATCTATTTAGGAATTGAAGAAAGTCCCCCAGAATAGAAAAGGGGTTGTCTTACACTTTTAATACTCTTTTGCTTCCACCCCCTTCTCTGTTAAATCCTTGTTTTTCTTCTCCAGGCTTCTCAGTTTCCCTCCAGTTAGCTAACTTCAAAAGTGAAGAAATGACTCATCAAATATAGAGCTGCATAACATGTGCCTGAAATTAAATTATATGTATGGGGCATGCCTGCCCATATTACATAATTTAAATAAAGATTTGATATATCTATGAAACTAAGGAAAGTGATGAGCTTTCTGAGTGGTCATTACTTGACCATTCTGATCCTTTCCACCAATGGGTAACTTCAAGTCCTGCTACTTCCTTTAGTTTGATCTTAATAAGATATGAACTATCAGTTTTACAAACAACAAATATATTCTGTTTTTCTTTCTTAACTCTTGTATGTTTGCATCCTATTTATTGACAGTGGCTAGAAAACAGGATACTTAGTAAGTGAAGGAAATGTTTTAGAGTTGTCCATAAAACTTAGTTGATGATATGAGATAGAAAAAAAGGGCAAACATAGTCAAACTAAATAGATCTTCCTTCCTTCCTTCCTTCCTTCCTTCCTTCCTTCCTTCCTTCCTT